TCAATGACACCAAAATAAATTTTGAAAATATGAGTTGTAGAATAACAAAATAAATTATTTCTAATAGATTGTGTGTGTGTAAATTTATATGGAATGAACCTTTTTTTCTTGGAAAACACATTCTAATTAGATCACGTACATGTATATAATTGGCACACCTCATGTAACCTCAAGTCACCAAACGTCATATCAGTTTTAATTTTTAAATTCCAAACGCATTTGAGGTAATTAGAAAATTGATGAAATTAATTAAATTAATTTTTATCAAATTTGAGGTATTAGGATGAGAGGATTATTCCTGGAAATGAAAGTTTTGATTTATTATTTTATTATTATTTATATTTTGTTTATTAATAAAATATAACATCTAAAATACTTTCTTTCTATCAAAATAACTTAGATATAACTAGTCTAAAATATTTATTATTGAACCCAATATACTCTATTTAATACATGCTACAAAATGAGTATAAGATCGATATAGTTTTGTCAACTACTAAAATACTTAAATATTCGACCCAAACAACCTATGATAAATTCTTAAAAGTATATGTAAGTAAATAAATCATTTATGCAAATAAGTGGGTCGAGTTTATTACTTCAACCTTGAACTTCAATGTGACGACAAGGTTAGACATGGACTATTTCATTTGTCAAATGACCATTATTAAATTTAGTGCATATGAAGATATAATTAAAATTCGAGGCATTACAAAACAACAATACCTGTATCATTGAGTATAACATACACTGCCATTTCCAATCCAAAAGCTCAACCATCCTAAACATGCAATAGAACAAATGGTTGTACTATATATACATCACAACTTACAGATTTGTTTATTAACAAATGACATGACTAGATTTGATTGAGTCAAAATCTCACCAAACAAATACAAAAAAATTCGTCGAATATCTTTTGTCATTAACCAACATTACATACGTGCGATCATTTAAGTGGTGAAGAAATTTTAACAATTTTAATTCAATTTACCAACATCCATCAATCTGTAAAAGAATTTATAAATGATTATGTACACAAACATTTTTCTAGAACTAATTAGTAACTTAAAAAAAAGGTCAATAAGCATGACATTTTATTTTTATTTTTTTTTATAATGGGTCCATGAAATGAGAGGTTAATAAATGTTTAGTAGCTAAGATTGTTTAACTTTGAATCCAAATATTATACCGATCACAAATGACTAATGATGCCGTCGTGGCTAACGGATTTGCTTGATTAAAAGATATGAATGGGATAACATTTTGAAATAAATTTCAGTTTGAGGATAGATTTGAAAAGCAGTTATAATATGGATAAAAATACAAATTGGTCATGTAAATTTGCTCTAAGGGTGTGTTTAATTAACTTCAATTTTAATGGAAAATGCTAATTTTTCACTCAAATTCCTATTTTTGAAGTGTTTGATTGATATTTTTTTCATGAAAGATATTTTTCAATAGTTGGTCACGTCACAATATTTTTTACAAAAATAAGAAAAATATTTTTTTATAGGGGTAAGTTTTTTTCTTTTTAGGTAATTCACACTTCCCAAAAACTCGGCTTAACGAAAAAGTAAATCATATTTTAGGTTGAAAATTAAGTCAATCAAACACATTTTATTGACAATTTTCTATGCATATAAGTTCTAGACAATTCCGGATCTTATTTACCATTCAAACAAGTTTTATATTCACAATCAAACACACCCTAAATATCATTTTGATCACCCATCTTCAAAGCATTTTACTAGTCACTAAATTTATGTTTTAGTATTTACGTGAACAACATAGTATGTCTCCGATAAGCTAATCACCACAATCATCTCAACTAAACAAACCAAATTTGTAACTAACAAAGAGATATAAGTTAAAAAAAACATAGAAAATAATTGATGCTAATTGATTAGTTACTGTAGATTGATAACACGGTAGATAGCTTCTGGTGAGCAAAAAGGTCAAGAATCAATCGAGATATCTTAGATCATGCGATTGTATAATTAAGAGCAAAATATCTCATTTTAAACAAAACATTGCCTCAACCTAATCAACAATAGTTAATCACGTTCAATCATCTTAGGGAGTAGCCTAACTTCAACCCAGTCAACTATAATGAATCACGTTCAATCACCTCAGAGAGTAGGCCGAATTGCAAAACACGTCATGTGTAATTATAACCTTTCACAAGACACGTTATACATTCTAGGAAAATTTTTAGAACATTACATTAATTTACTACTAGCTCTCTATGCACAATTAATTTCCATTTTTTCTATTGAACCACTAAATTTTTTCTAAATGACTTTCAAGGCGAGAATCTCAATTCCATGTGGACATGTTTTACTTTCCGCTCAAATGGATATTGTACATATCATCATCAAACATCAATAAATTTTTCTTTATTTATAAATAATAAAAAGACCAAGTTATCTACATAGTTTCGAAAACAAATAATTATTTCAACAGGCTCGAGTAACTTATAAGATTATACAAGCATATTGTTTGAAGTAGACATGTCGTCGGAGGGCGTTCGGAGCCAGAAAGGGAGTAGAGCAAATATCATCAGCAAGACGTCACTACCTTACAAGTCAAAAAGGACAAAAAAGGTACAGAATATTCGTGCATCTCCGATCCCATCTATCAAATATAGGCGTGGGCGTGACTCTCTCTACAATACAATATTTCACTTTATCTCAACAGTCAATTTAGTATTATAATATATTTCACACAAGCATAGCATAGAATGTCCCTCGGCTTTTAATTTTTAAACTTCGCAAGGCGAAGCGACGACAACTTCTCGCTCGCTGCCATTTTTATTGTTCATATTCTGGTAATCACGTTAAATTTTTTTTTCTGTGTAATTCTTACCAGCGGTAGTTAATTACTCAGTTGTGAAGAGCAATTGAGTTTTATTTATGTTCTATTGAAGACAATCTAGGTGTTTTCCTTTTCTGTTTTTGTTCGAATATTTAGAACATAAGTTTCTGAATTCATAGTTAACAGAATAGATTTCGCGTGTTTACCGTGAATTATAAAAAATAGTTGCTGGATGCTCTTTCTATTTTGGTTATTCTTTTGGAAAAATGATTTTCGAATTGCTTTTGCAACTGGGCTGTTGTGCAGCTCTTCTGAGAACCCATCTTCACGTAAAATGTTAATATCACAGCATTGTAAAAAAAAGAATTTTCTTGGTAAAAAGATAACATTGTTTTTATCCAATAATTTGAAATGTTGTTCAATTTTCGTTCTTATATTATTGGACATTTTTGTTAGATAATAAATACGTGGGGTTTAATACTATTAAGCGTATCATCTTCCTTTGTCTTCTGGAATATACGCATGACTTTAAAAATTGTATTATGAAATGCTAAGCAAGAAGGTTTGATGTATTTTAGTTGCTATGAGAATTATACGCCAATACTAATTTCTGCACTTAGTAATTCTTGCAGAGTTCAGAACTATAGTTGTTGAAGAAAATGGGTCAAATATGTGATTTCTGTGGGGATTAAAGATCTATAAACTATTGTAAGTCTGATGCTCCCAGCCTCTGTTTATCTTGTGATCGCAATGTCGATTCTGCAAATGCCCTATTTAGATGTCACTCAAGGACCATTGTGCGTGAACGATATAATTCTCAGCCTGCAGCATTAAGGTGCATTGAAGAGGAGATCTCACACTGTCAAAACTGCAACTGGTCTTCGCATGCTGTCCCTGATTCAGCTGCAGGCCAAAAACATCAGTCAATCAATTCTTTATTCTGGATGCCCTTTTGCAGCCAAGCTTTCAAGTATTTGGTCACTCTTTTCAGCGGATTGTTTAAGCTGTAATCCTGGAATAGGTTCAACGAGTCAGGAAAAGGAAGACCTTAGCCTATATTTTCCTTCATTGCCACCAATGCTTTACAGTATAACAGAGGCTGCAATGGATCCTATGGCATCTGATGTTGAAAAATTTAGTGGAAAGAGATCCTTGAACTCTCTCAATGAGAAGGTAACTCTAAATAAGAAAATTCTTGTATATAAGAGTTTAATTTCAACTTGTATGCACCCAAAGTGTGGCTTCAACAACCCCAATGGCACTGGTGGGTGAGGGGCTCCATGTTCAACTGGTTTTGACAAATCATTGCTTATCCAATTAATTGAGGTTGAGGTTGAATGTCTTTAGAATTATTGCTCAACAGTGGTGGTCTAGAATTATTTACCCCTTAATGTCGTGCATACGTGATCACCATCTTCATTTTTTTCCCATCTGAAAAAAAGATATATATTTTTGTACAAAATTTTTGAACTACTTCTTACTTATTATCATGTAAAAGTTGCAAAAATAAGTTCCTTCGACAAGTTTGTTATTTTCTTAAATGTATAACCCATTTCTGCTACTAACTGAATTATATAGACCAACAGTATTACTTGCCTGTGCTTATTTTTTGCAAAATCGTCTGGTCTGAACTTATCGAATAATAGGTCAAATTGCTCTGCATATATGCTTCTTGTGGCTGCTGTTGTTGATTGACATGGAGAATTCCAAGAAGGTATCTAACTGCCTTATATTAATTTTTACTGTGTTTTTTATTCCGTTCAGCCCACTTTCTGGTGGAAATTTTTAACAAGCAAACTTATACTAGAAAGCACCAAAGAATGGCATTTCTATAGGTGAACCAAATTCCAAATTGAATAATAATTGGCAAAACACAAATTGTCATCCAGCATCCAAAGTTCGACTTTTTAATTAGAATATTTGCTGCTTAATTTTTTAAGTTTCAAAAGTTAATAAAAAGTACATCATATTCACAGATGTTATTGGGACGTTGAATTTGACAACTATATATTGATATGAAAAATAGAAAAATAGTAAAATTGAAGACTGAAGCTAGTTGNATGTTATTGGGACGTTGAATTTGACAACTATATATTGATATGAAAAATAGAAAAATAGTAAAATTGAAGACTGAAGCTAGTTGACTTATTATGATTGGTTGCGATTGAGTGGGTATACATGGTATGATTGTGCATGTTCATTTGCTGTCTGGTTCATTTCAATTTGCAGTTTTTGAGTTATTTCCTTGTAACATTGTACTCAAACGAATTCTAATTTCAAGTGTGATGTACTGTTTGATAATTATGCTGGCAGTTTCCTCCAGAACAAAACATCTTAAACACTTGGATGGAGATGACCTCTATAAGGATTTAAATATCTTGGATATTGACTTGGGTTTTAATGACTGTGAAGAACTGTGTGGCGAATCTCTTGCTGATTCACAACAGTTTTTTGAGGATGGTGGTATTGATACCTCATTTGAGATCGGCTCTATGCCCGGTTCTCAAATTAATACAAAGTGTGCATATGCCATCAAGGTTTGCCCAGTAACTTGTTCTATTACAATATAAGCGACACAATTTGTTATCTTTCTTTTTTTTCTCACAACTACACTTTTAATTTTTGGTTATCTGTCTTTCAATTGAAAATTCTAATATTTTCTATAAAAGCCACCTTGTTCTCATAATTTATGATCTCTTCCTCTTGGACTATGTTAGTATTATTTTTTCACTTAGAATATTTTTATCTTTTTCCTTTTTCATAAATTAATATTGACTTTGTTTTTTGGTGAGAGTATAATTAGAATACTCTTCCGTGCCAGTCATGGTCCACTTCAGAATGAAGAAATCTAATTTAGATGTAAATAATAAAGGGAATATATGCCCTGGTCCATTGCTTATTAGGTTTCTAGTGAAAATTTTATTTGATATGGATATAGCACTTCATCCTGATTTTTCTGGTTCTCCAATGTGAACTTCCTAACTGGCCTATCGTCCTCTGTATGGGCAAATATGCTGGAGTGTTTTCAAAAATAGATTGGTTCACAAGCATATTAATCTCTTGGCATTGAAATTGTTTGCTTATTAACATTGATTGTCAAGTTAAAACTTTTCATGAAGACACACCGAGGATGTACATTTGATGTTGATAGCAATATTTCTTTGCTACGAACAGTACTAGATGTTTGTCACTTGGTATTTATTTTAAAAAGGCACTTGAGGATCAATTTCTTTTTTCTTTATTTTTGGTTCTAGGACTTCTTAGCTTCACAGACTAAAGTAAAGCAGATGGCATTCAGCAATCCGGTATCTGGTGACCCTGTTACAAGCTGTCAAACTGGTCCAAATACTTGCTTGCCAAGAAAAGCACTATCTACATGTTCACTTTCCTTTTCTGGCCTGACTGGTGAGAGTAGCACGGAAGATCACCATGAGTGGGATGTCTTCTATGCTTATAATGGGTGAACCTCCATGGCATTTCCCCTGATCTGAAAGTCTGGTGACATCATCCAGCAGGGATTGTGCAGTCTTACGGTAAAGGGAGAAAATAAGTCACTCAATTAAGTAACGTGCAGGATAATGTTTTTCTTTGTTGCACGGGAAGAAAACATACCTTAAAAATCTGTCTCTAAACATATATAATTTGTTAACTAAAGTTGTTTCCTAATTAGACTTTAGAAGTATATTTTTTGTTGTAGATATTACAATGCAACATCAACACTTCTAAGCCCTTTGCCACTCGTTGAGTTGATGCAGGACTCATAGACCTTTTTTAATGTCACTAAAAGTACAACGATTGTCTACTTCTGTAGAAAATCGTGTAATATGGAAATTGTAATTAATTTTAGATTGTGATTTTTAGGTTAATTGCTAGGTTGATTTATTTCCTTACTTAGGTGATTATAGTGTCCTTTTCTTATTTGAATTGTATAGCATAAGTAGGAGGTATTGGGATGTGTTTTAAGTGTCGTGAAATAAAATTTCCAGAATTCCAATTCTGATTTCATGGTATTAGAGCCTAGGTTTCTCTAACCTAGCAACACAATGGCGGAATTCCCCGCCAACAGCAGAGAGTCGATGACCTCTGCCACTTCCGAATTTGAAATAGAAGTCAGCCCTCCAATCGGTTCAACTGGAGTAGAGAACTCCACCTTCCAACTCATGGTGGAAAAATTGAACGGAAGGAACTACTGAGAGTGGGCCCAATCCATAAAATTAGTAATACACGGTAAAGGGAAATTGGGGTATTTTACCGGTGAAACCAAGAAACCGACCGACATCGTCATGTTGCAGAAGTGGAAGTCAAATAATTCCATGGTGACAGCCTTGTTGGTAAATTCAATGAAATTGACCATTGGGAAAACATATCTATTCCTCCCAACAGCAAAAGACGTCTAGGATGCAATGAAGGAGACTTACTCCGATGTGGAAGATTTGTCGCACATATTTGAAATTATAACCTGACTATGACAGACTCGGCAAGGCTCGAGAGATGTGACTGATTATTATATGGAAATGGTGGCTCTCTAGCAAAAATTAGATCTTAGTGTCGAGGAGGAATGGAAGTGCGTGGATGACTGCACACTGTACAGGAAGAAGGTGGAGAATGAAAGATTGTATGAGTTCTTTGCTGGGCTAAACCGAGAGTTGGATGACATCAGAGGAAGAATTTTAGGTCGGCGACCATTACCACCGACTCGCGAAGAGGTTCGCCGGGAGGAAGATCGCCGATCAGTGATGCTGAAAGATGGGAACGGGTCTCCAAAGATGTCGGCCCTAAATGTAAAAGGGAGTGGGCCTCCAAGTGTGAAGATAAATGGGCCAATTAATAGTGGGCCTTGAACAAATTTTTTAAAAAACAGTGGGCTGGAAATTAGTGGGCCTCCAAGTGGGAATGGAGTATTAGGCCTATTCTCAAAAGGGGCTGCAAATGGGTCGACCTAAAAACAACGAGGACGACCATGGTGTGAGCATTATCGCAAGCAGTGGCGCAAAGGAGACACGTGTTGGGAAATTCATGGAAAGCCTACCGACTGAAAGCCAAGGCAAAATAAAAGGAGTCGAGGACACCAAGTTGAAACAAAAATTCCTACTTCAAGTGGGGCATTCAACTCCAAACAAATGGAACAACTCTAACATCTGGTCAGCCTTCTCCTAAAGGTCCCTCTAGTTCTCTCGTCCACAAAGGTAACCTTCTGAGAGTTTTAAATACCTCACAATATAAAACTTCTTAGATCATCGACTCCAGTGCATCTGACCACATGACAGACTCATACCACCTATTTTCTTTATACACAACTTATGGTGGACATATTAAAGTAAAAATTGCAGATGCTCACTCTCCTCCGTTGTAGGAAAAGGAAGTATTCGAATCTCAGAGTCTATCACATTAGAATCCGTCCTCCACGTCCCAAATTTGTCTTGTAATCTCTTATCTGTTAATCAACTAGCCAAAAGTTCAAATTGCTCTGCTAATTTCTTTCCTTCTTATCGTGTCTTTCAGGACCTTTCATCGGGGAAGACAATTAGCAGTGTTAAAGAGTGTGAGGGACTATACTACTTCAAGGAAGCTAATGCGAGTAAACTAGGTTAAATTACAAGTTGTAATCCTGCATTTGTCTCTAAGGATAGCGAAATTTTGTAATGACACTATAGCATGGGTCACCCTAGCTTTCCCTACTTGAAACATGTACTTCCTTTACAATGCTTGAATAACACATCAATTGATATTAAATGTGAAAGTTGTGAATTCCCAAAACCTCAACGAACTTCCTTTCCAAATTTCACATATAAACCATCTACACCATTTGCTTTAATTCACAGTGATTTATGGGGATCATCCCGCATTCCTAATCGAACCCAAACAAGATGGTTCGTCACATTTATTGATGACCACACTCGGGTATGCTGGGTAAATCTACTAAAGGAAAAATCTAATGTTTGCTCGGTATTTATAAACTTTCACTCTATGATTCCAACTTAATTTCAAGCACAACTTCAAATTCTGTACACTGACAATGGCACAAAATATTTTAGTACCACCTTGCAAGACTACCTAAAAACACATGGAATAATTCATCAAAGTTCATGTGTCAACACCCCTCAACAAAATGGGATTGTTGAACGAAAAAACAGACACCTACTCGAGGTTGTTCGAGCCTTATTGTTTACTACAAATATGCCAAAAACATTTTAGGGAGATGCAATTTTAACATCTACATACCTTATCAATCGGATGCCTAGTTGTACCCTTTCATTTGCCTCACCTTTACAAAAATTCCGACAGTACTTTCCTAATTCTCGCCTCAATTCAAACCTCCCGCTAAAAGTATTTGGAAGCACTGCCTTTGTGCATTCTCATCACCGAAATAAACTTGAACCATGAGTAATAAAGTGTGTTTTCATTGGGTACTCACCCACTCAAAAGGGCTGTAAATGCCATGACCCATCCACAAAACAGGTTTGCGTTAGCCTTGATGTCACCTTCTTCGAAAAAACACCATATTTCCAAAAATCCTCTCTTCAGCAGGAGAACTTGAGTGAAGATCGGTTGGATCGAGAATTCTTAGAATTTAACCTCTCCACAACTAACCCAAATGTCACCCTACCTTCTAGTGTGCCATATACAGAAGGAACTTGAATTCAGGGGGAGATGTCAAAAAGCAAAATGATAAGGAGATAATAGTTTACTCACGGAAGCCTAAATCAAACTATAAAGAAACTCTCACACCTGAAGCACCAAAAGAGTCGGAACCGACGATAGGACCTGATAAGAACTCCTCTGACGAACCCATATCTCCAGAAAATGATTTGCCTATTGCTCTCAGGAAACAACCTCGGTCATGTACTCTCCATCCTATTTCAAAGTTCATATCTTATAATGCTCTATCTACTGAATTTCGAGCCTTTACGGCTAATTTTGATAAAACAGAAGTTCCAAGAAATATTTAGGAGGCTTTGGAGTCATCCAAATAGTGAGAGGCAGTAATGGAAGAAATGAAAGCCTTGAAGAAAAATGAGACTTGGGAAGTAGTGAATCTACCAAAAGGAAAGAAACCAGTAGGTTGCAAATGGGTTTTTAATGTAAAGTACAAGGCAGATGGGACAGTAGAGCATTATAAAGCTCGTCTAGTCGCCAAAGGGTATACACAAACTTATGGCATTGACTACACAGAAACATTCGCACAGGTGGCGAAGTTAAATACAATTCTGGTTCTTTTATCCCTAGCAGTGAATCTAGACTGGCCTCTTCAACAACTTGACGTCAAGAATGCATTCTTAAATGGAGAATTAGAAGAAGAGATCTACATGACAATACCACCCAGATTTAACAGAAGTGGTAAGGAAAATCAAGTGTGTAAACTCAGGAAGTGTCTGTATGGTCTCAAACAATCACCAAGAGCATGGTTCAATAGATTTGCAAAAGTGCTAAAAATTCAGGGATATTAGCAGAGGCAGCCCAATCACACCATGTTTTTTCATCAATCTAAAGATGGTACAAAGACAATATTGATTGTATATGTTGATGATATAATCCTACTTGGAGACAACATTGCTGAGATAGAAAGATTAAAGAAGTGTTTAGCCACATAATTTGAAATAAAAGATCTAGGACAAATGAGGTATTTTTTGGGAATGGAGATTGCAAGATCAAAGAAGGATATCAGTGTATCTCAACGAAAATACATACTTGACCTGTTGAGAGAAACTAGCATGTTAGGATCCAAACCAAGTGACACCCATTGAATCTGGAAAGATAAAGGACACATGGAGCCCATTGGAAATGGATAGATATCAAAAATTGGTTGGTAAGTTAATCTATCTCTCATACACTAGACCTGATATTGCCTTCGCAGTCAGTGTGGTTAGTCAACACATGCACTCTCCCAAAGAAGTTCATCTGGAAGTAGTATACAAAATTCTCAGATATCTAAAAGACACTTTTGGAAAAGAATTATTTTTCGAAAAAATAGAAGGACGGGAATAGAAGTATTCATTAATGCAGACTAGGCTGGATCAATCAAAGATAGAAGGTCTACTTCTGGCTACTGTACATTTGTATGGGGAAACTTAGTGACTTGGAGAAGCAATAAACAGAATGTAGTGGCTAAAAGTAGTGCCGAAGCTGAATTCAGAGCTGTGGCTCAAGGAATTTGTGAATGATTGTGGATATAGAAACTCTTAGAAGAATTGAAAGTAAATGTCGAACTCCCAATCAAACTTGATTGTGACAGCAAAGCAACCATCAATATTTCTCTTAATTCAGTACAGCATGACAAAACCAAGCATATAGAAGTGGACAGACATTTTATCAAAGAAAAACTAGAAGATGGGATTATCTGTATGACATATGTCCCTACAACTGAGCAAACTGCGGATATCTTCACCAAAGGATTGTCATGACAAAACTTCAACGATTTCCACAGCAAGTTGAACATGATCAACATCTACTATTCAACTTGAAGGGGAATGTAGAAAATCGTGTAATATGGAAATATGGAAATTGTAATTAATTTTAGATTGTGATTTTTAGGTTGATTGGTAGGTTGATTTATTTCCTTACTTAGGTGATTATAGTTTCCTTTTCTTATTTGAATTGTATAGTATAAGTAGGAGGTATTGGGATGTGTTTTAAGTGTCGTGAAATAAAATTTCCAGAATTTCAATTTTGATTTCAACTTCCCATTAGGTTTAACAAAAGAATAAGATATACTTCATGGCTGACGTCAGGAAGTGTGTGAATGGGCGTTTTGTGAAGGCTGATAATCCCTTTGATTATGATACATTGTGCCAGATAAAAAGCAAGTGACTGTACAGTTTACAGGCTAGACTAGTAACGACATATTGTACTGTAAAACATTGAGATATAGAAAAAGGAGACGGAAGTAGTCGCAGAGATGTTTGTTGGAAAAGGACTGAAGCACATGAATAATGAAATTTCGAGGTTCTGATTACCTGATTTTGCTCAAGAAGGGAAATGATTACTCATTGTAATTTCCTGGGTATATGAAACTGGACTTCCTCCCTTCTGGCCGCTACCCTAAGTAGCAAGCCATATAATGATAATGCTGTATGTTCTGTAGCAAATCATAAAAATATGAGGAAACATGTTATCTTCATCTGTGCACAGGATTCAATGATTTACTAGCAGCATGTTATGCATATGACTAGTTGTCATTGTAATATAACACTACCTGAATGGTTATATAACCAAAAAGTAAAGACTGTACTAAGTTGTCAACAGATTATTTCTTTTGTGTTTTTATTTTTTTTTTCATTTTTTTTTTCCATTGTATAAGTTCTTTGGGGGGGAGAATAATGTAAATTTCATTCTTACAAGAAGTCATTAATTGGAAACTTCTATTTTTGTTCATATGTATCTGTGGAGGGAATATTTGAATGCGATTTGATTACTTGTGAGTTGATGCAGAGAATTTTTTTTTTTTTCAAAAATCAAAACCTCTATTGCACAAGAACAATTGGTGAAAGTAAGTTGATTACCGAATAGTTGCTGTTACAAGTAAAATTGCCACAAATTCTTAAGAACTTTGTACGAATCATGCGGTAACATGTTTTATCTTGAATCTTGATATCTTATATGTACTTTACTGGGCAAAGGATATTTGCACAAATTCACGCCCATGCAAAATAAAAGTTACAGTGTAATATACTGAATGTTATGGGCTATCTCTCTCTTCCTTTGCTATAAGTCTGCTCTGATACTCTTCTCACTTGAGCTTTCTCGTGGAGACTCAGCTGGCTTTCTAGAATTTCTTCTTCTATGATGTCCCTCCCCTTGACCATTTCTGTTCCTGTACCTGTTCTTTTGAAACTTGGTTCAGGTTTTAGTTGCAGCTTTCCGTCAGATCTCTGATGAAGTCCACTGGTGCTAGGTGTTGAACTTCTGTTAACCTTTGCTTTACTGGTCTTCTCATCTGAACTCAGGGTTAATTTGCTTACGTCTTCTCTGATCTCTGATGTTTGTCTTCTTCCTCGGAATTTCTCAGGAGATGGAAGTTGTCTACTTGTTGCTGTGTTGCATTTCTCTTGTTCAAAGAAGAGAACTTGCACCACCGTTCTCAATGGCAGGCGCTCGTTCTTCACAGCATGGGCACATACCTCTGGTGACAATTTCTGGCAATCTAGAACGTGGCAGAGCTGCTTTCTGTCTGCTTTAGTAAGATCTGGATGCTCCTAGCATCCAGTAAATAAATGCAAAAATGAGAATAAATGAAAATTTTACTATTGTTATGAAAATTCTGAAGACATGGAAAACATATAAAGTAATTACTCAGAAACGTATTAAATTATGATCATGTTTATTTATTTATTTCTCTATCACTCAACTATAATACCTTCCCTACCTTGAGATAAATGTTAATTGCCTTGTATAGATCATCATGTTCAGGCCTTGCGATTCTTGGCAAAGCTTCAGCAAGAGATACCAGTTTCTGAACTGGCATGCAGGCATCCTTTGCCACCACTTGCAGATAAGAATCAATGAGCTTTCCAGCTTTTCTAATTAATCTTATTGACTGGTTTTCATCAGTAGGAGTTTGTCTTTTCCAGTGCCTCAAGAAACTCTCCAATACTGTCTTAACCAAATCAATGTCATAAGAAGTATTGTGATCATTAGACGATTGAGCAGGAAGCAGCAGGTCATCCAATGTTGCCTCCCCAAATTGCATGCCTGCTCGTCTTGTGAGTTCTGCCTTTGTTACGGGAGATGCCCCAAGAAACTTTGCGAGCCCAAGGAGTCTTATCATGAATCGAATTGATACAGATCCTTTATCGGCTGGAATCAGACTCACGATTGTCTCCAGAATTTTCTCTTTTCTGTCTAAACAATTTTCAGCTTGAGAAGTTGAGCTCTCTCTAGGCCTACTTTTTGTGATGTCTGGTAGCCAACGACACGTATACACATGCAGAGCTTCTCCAATAAGCTGCGGTGGCAGCACATTTGTAGACCTAATAGCAGTAACTATACATCTGAACAAGTCTATGTCAAGGAAAGATATGTCCTCTGTCCACCAATCCTTTGGAACCGATTGATGGCGCTTTTTCTCATACCCCGGTCTAGTGTAAGTATAAGACCATGTAACCTGCAGGTGGTTTTCTCCGCATTAAACTTAAATGTTTCAGAAAAAACATGGAGTTAAATATAGTATCTAGTACGTCTAACCTTCGCTGGAGGTAACAGGATCTTTTCAACTAAGGATTCAATGCACCTTCTAACTATCCCAAGATTTTCTGACCACTCAAACAATCTTCCAGTGTTTTGCAGTGTGACAATGGAGTCCTTCCAACCTTCTAGAATGCAAGATGAGAAGAAAACTTCCAATCTCTTGACAAAGTTCATCTTTTCAACTGCTTCAGACATTTGAAGGAAGTTGGAGGCACAAAAAGCAGGTACAAAATTATGTGCACTGAGATTTATTGTGATCCCATAGCAAAACTTTGCACAGAGCTCAAAAGCCTCTTCTCCTCCAGGAATATCTTGCAGCACAAGGGTGATGTTGCTAGAATTTTCTTCTTCTGACTCTGAGCAAAGCTGTTGTAGTAGGCCACTCTTTGGAAGAAGAGGATACTACAGTTCACAACAGAATGAGGAAAGATCTGAGTGATTTTGTCTAAAGATAGGGCTATGCCTCAGTACTGCCTCAATGGAAAAGCAGCGACTACTTGACAAGAAAGGGAGAAGGTATGTGCATACTAATTTCTTCATATTCACTGATTATTTTAGCATATTATCTTTCTTAAATGGCAATTTGTCTACTAGAATGATTCAGTGCACTGGCAATGATATATTTTGTCAAAATTTTAATTTTCATAGATAATAATTAACCTCAAATCATACCTTATGAAGAAGATAAATAGTATTGTTTACTTGAATGGTGAGGTCACTTGGTACATCTGATATCACTGTCCTGCAAATTTCAAAACAAAGTTAACATCAAGATAATTACAGATTGATATATAAAATGAATTTGAGTTAAATTAAGGCAGTTCATGTACCTAGTCGACTCCTCTGTGTAGAAGGTGTCTGGCCTTGTTCCAAGTTTCATAAACTTCATTTTTGGGATAATTCTGTTCGAGTAGGTTAGATTTTTGCTCTACTTTGCATAGAACTGAGATGTACCTTTTCCTATTAATTTCAGAGAGATTAAATTGTGATCTATTGTTCATGAAGCTGCTGAAAATATAGTGCATAAAATATGCGAAGAACAATATTTTAGCGTTACGGTTGTGTGAATTTCTTGCCTTAGGTTAGGATGTGAATGAAAAGATTTGCAGGATCTAAGAGTTGTCCACACTAGTAAAAGAATATGTTCTAAAAGGGAATCAAAAGTATCGAGGATTTCAATATGCAAGCTAAGTAGAAGACTGCTTCTCGCCGAAAGAAGAATTATGGCTAAATGAAAATCGTATTTGCGGATTAATTAAATTGACATGAGGAAAAGAAACGGGCTAATTGAAAGACTGTAAAATGGATCAAGAAATCAAAGAAAATCCAATCACAAAGGCTACTTAATAAACATACAGCTAACCACTGTTTGATTGACATGTAGGGGTTTTGTCCTTAGCTCACTGTAAGTTAGTGTTGGACATATAGTCATGGAATAAAGATCCCTTCATATTCCCAGGTTCCTATATATAGCTCTAGGTGACATTTAGATATGAAGGGAATTCTCTCCTCCTAAAGGAATTGGGAAAGTAAAACTTTCCTGCTGTAATGCACTTTGAGTGATTGCCATAAGACAATGAAGGAATGTATGATAAGTAGTCTTTTACAAGACTTGACGATATGTGGACAAGATCATTTTTCAGCCTCCTGTGTTCCACAATACCTTCCCATTGTGTAATCCAACCACGCCAAACATGGTGTTAAGATGATGAGATTTTTGGATAGTGTACTCTGGGGTACCTTTCCTACTTTCATGTATAGTACTGCTACAAGCATGTAAACATATATATATCCTTGGCAGTTAAAGCCACCAATAACCAATTGGGCACAAAGTACGAACTCCTTGGAATGCACTAACTTAAAAGGAAGAAGTTTATAAAGAAAAGGTGGGTTTAACACGCATCACTGAAAAGTAATCTAGGAAAGAAAAACATTCATTCATATTACTAATTAGGAAAAAGGATGTTCTTGTGGATTTTCTTTCTGCACCATAAACACATTCTATGTGCACGTGTCTGATGCTCAACGATTGAATACCTAATGTTTTAATTCAAGAAAGTTTCATATTAAGCACCACCTTTAACTGCATGGGTACCTGGAACCTTGAATTAGTGACCCTTGCTTTGAGAGAGAGACTGAACGAAAATCCCGAGGCTATTATATATATGGTGCAAAATCATTGCTCTTTTTCTATTAGAAATAAAGTCTTGAATTTAATTGCTATCCTCGAATAGGGAAAAGAGTAAAAAACAAAGGTAGCTAGCTTGGCAAGTTACTTTGTATGGATCCCAACTCCATGGAGATGAAGCAAACGGAAAAATTGGTGACAACTTATGAAAGCTACATGTTCCCCTAGCCCTTTTAATAGGTATGGCAATATTTAAGCTATACTGACATACATATAAAAATAATAATACAGATATGCTCTTTAATCAGTGGGATCCATAACACCATTAAATATATGAAAGAAGAATCAAAACCTACCACAAAATCAGCTGATTGCCGTTAACTATCCCTCAACAAGTTCAGTTAACTACTAATGTAATATTTGAGGAAATTAAGCCAGTGGCCATGATCGATTAATAATCAATCCTTCATCACTTCCTGATCACGAAACATCCATATCTGAATTTCATGGAATCGTTGAACTTGTGATTCAAAAATATACACAACTACAGAAGAAAGAAACACAGTTACAATTGCATGTAGATGGACATGCGCAAAAAGAAAGGAATGAGAGAGAAGCAACTTATGGGTCATATCGTGTATACAGAAATATATAACCCTACCTGCATTGAGACATAGGGAAAGATGACTAGTGTAAATATGCTCTTAGTCAACATATAAACTAATGCAAATCAAAACAATCATGATGAACTACGTGAAAAAGGGTAAAAGCAATTAATACTGTTATATATAACTGTACACAAACACTAGTTTTTTTGTGCTCCGTATATGATTGGAATTCTTTCTACATAGTAGCATGCAGAGCAAGTGGGTGTGGGTCCTCCAACTTGCCCTACCATTATTTGAAAAAAGGGTTTGGTGGGACCAGATAGAAAGATCCCATACTACACATTTCTCATCATTCATTATAGTTTCTCCCACTAAGTTTCTGACTCTTCTCTTCTCCTTCCTTTTCTAAGGTTTGATGGTAGGTTTTGCTGACATTCATGTCGGCCACGTGTCTTGTCATATACCGTTTGATTCATTTGCAGACATGAAATCTTGATTGGACTGGACTTTGTTCGTTGTTCCAGAGAACAAGCTTAGATCAGTTTTTCCTCCTTTGTCAACGTTTGCTCATCAACCGAAGATTCTTTTCTAGACTTGGGTTTAAGGGTTTTATTTTCTTTCCGTTTAAGTGCGATTATAACAAAATGCATAAATTCATCATTTAGAACTATTATACATAACTTTGCAAATTATTTATATGACTTGTAATCATTATTAAGTGTCCACGTAACGTAGCCTTTTTTGGAAGATGACAATGTGCCTTCCAGCCCTTACACGTAACACACGGGAACACGTGGCCGTTTGTGTTTTTGCTCTCAAATTGATAAAGAAGTATTAGAATATGCCACTCCATTTTCGTATCACGCAAGTTGGATGTTCTTGGCTCAATTACTTTAGTTCAATCTAAGTACCAAATCTATAATGAGAATTATGATACATCCATCAATCGTATTAACAAAGTTGGTAGATGCATTACCTAAGTTTCAAGAAAGTGACGACGTGAAGTCGCACAAAATCCCTTGGTTTGAAATTCTTTCAAAGTGCATGTTAGATAGGTCCGTGGAAGTTCTAAACTTCCTTAGTACAAGTAATCACTAGAGTTAAAGAAATAAATTTAAACTGACGTAGAAAACATAAGGATTTTAGTGAGTGTACACAGAATCCATGCAAGCACTCCCAATTGACAGATCCCACGCGGGACATGCCTGTATAAAAAAATGCCAAAGATCCCATTGTGAGTACCTGTAGGGGTTCTGTGAACATGAAGCAAGGTTCAAAACACAAATAATAAATAATTGAACAATTAGATGCGCATGTAAAATACTATATTGACGAATGAGTGCACTTGTATAGATTCTAAAATTTAAATGGAGCCCCTATCTGAATGGTAGTCAATCTCCCACTTTATAGAATGGCTGAAAACAATGACTATTATTTTAATTTATGGGTATGGTAGTGTAGTTGGTGCACCACCTTTCCAATATCGATTCATTCGTTTGAAGGATATGGAGACAAGAGGCCTGACTCTCTCGTAGAAAAGATACCCATGTCTCATATCTCTCTCACGAGATTATATTCTGCCTTTACGAGAATCTGTTGGAATTTTTAGGGGTTAATTGATGCTTTTAGTATATATAAATGAGAAACGTTTGTCATAGGTGCGTAGATTGAGTATGACTCTTCAAGTGCAAAAGGTACATAATAAAGAATCACAGCCTTTTGATAAGATGAGATCTAGACTATCAATTTTGAAATGGTGTGATCTATTGTTGAAATTAATTTTGTTAAAAGAAGAGACCGTTAGAAAGAGACGCGAGAAAACTATAAATAGACACGTTCTTTCCTTCAAATTATGTCAAAATAATTTTCAAATTGTTTTTGAGTTTCGTATTTGATATTTTCATTATATTTCTATTTCTTTTGATTGTGCTATTCATTAATATGACAACAATCTTAAGACACATTTTTCTTTCTTCTACATTTCATTTTTCGTAATTTTATAACGTGTTTGAATAATATACAATTGATCAAATTTTTCAGTGACTATTTTACAGAAAAATGACTAGTTCAACTAAGCAAACTAGTGAAGCAATTGGACAAACGTCTGTGTTTAATTTCTTTGTCATGCCGCCAGCATCTCAACATGAAAAGTCGGGGAAAAAAAAATAAAAAAATAAAATAAAATCAATGCCGCGAATTTCAAATGTTGGCAACAGAAGATTCCGTTCTACCTAACTCAGCTGAATTTGGTGAACTTTTTACACGAAGATTGTCCCACACAGACAAGCAAATACCACTGATAAAAATGCCCAGTTGGCTATTGAAGCACAGAAGCAAAATTATATTCTCAACGGGTTAAAAAACACATTTATACAATATGTATTTTTCATACAAGATGGCCAATGAACTCTGAAAATCACTTGATAAAAAATATAAGACAGAAAATGTCAGATTGAAGAAATTCATTATCGGCAAATTTTTTATTTCAAATGGTTGATTCAAAGATGGTCGTGAGTCAAGTTCAAGAAATGCAAATAATTCTTCATGATATTGGGGTGGATGGTATGGAATTGAATGAATCTCTCCATATTGTTGCTATGTTATGTAAAGATTTTAAAAACTATCTTAATCATAAGGGCAAAGATAGGACAATGGGGGATCTGATTGTTCAGCTCACATTAAAGAAGACAACGGTGCTACAGAAAAGAAAAGTTTAATGCGAATCATTGAAGCAAAGGCTAACATGATTGAAAAATCTTGATTTAAAAGTACTAAGAGAAAGCATCCTGGCTCGTTTAAAGACAATGGAAAGGAGGATGATGTAAAATGTTTCAAATGAGTAATTGCAGGAAGCTAGGATATTGAGCTAAAAGTCCTTGCAGTAAGAAAAAATGATGCACAAAAAAAGAAACCTCCCAAGGCAAACTTGACTAAAGTAGACAGCCTGTCAGTAAACATTGTGGATATCAATATATCTGCAATTATATCTAAAGTTATCTTGATATCGAATACCAAAGATTCGTCGGTGGGTACAGGAGTCACTCTTCACATTTATGCCGACAATGACTTATTCACTAAGTACAAGAAGATGGATCAAGGTTAACATCTCTAATGGACAACTCAACTTCATCAAAGATAAAAGGAATAAGAAATGTCATTCTAAAATTCACTTCTGGAAAAGAGTTGCACGCTGAACAACGCTGTGCATGTTCCAGAAATTAGGAAGAATCTGATTTCAAGTTCTATACTCAATAAGAAGGGATTCAAAATAGTGTTTGAGTCTGATAAATTTATACTTATTAAAGGGAGCGTGTATGTTGGGAAATGGGAATGATTATTTATTTAATGGTTTGTTTAAAGCCAATGCTGTTGCAGTGTATAATCAGTCCACGTATTTTTACCAACAAGTTATGAATAAAATTATTTTTTTTGTTTACTTGTTCGAGTCTTCCTTTTTATGGCATAACAGATTAGGATATGTAAATCATGCTTCATTAAGGAAATTGGTAGGTTTAGGACTTTTAACTAACCTTGAATCAGAAAACAAACAAATGTGAAATTCATGTTAAAGCAAAATTTGTTTTAATAAGGGGGGGGGGGGGGGGGG